ATTGTGTTTCTACTCCATATACTTGAGGTTAAAACATTAATTTGAAATTTGATTAAAAGTAAACAAAACCTGTTCATTATTTTGTTGGACTTGTGGAGACAGTTGTTTTCTGTATTACCCAATCAAAAAGTACAAAAATTTGAAGCTCAATCTCCTTTTTTTCAGCCAGAATATTTTGGCATATTCAATTAGGTAATGTTTCCAATAACTATTGTATTAAATATCTGTTGCACTTGTCTGTCTTTGTACAATCCCTAAGTGTACAATATACACTTATATTAAATAAGTGACTCAGACCCTGTCTCGTGCACAGGCCTGAGCTTATCCTGGCTCATCATGGAAATCAAAAGAAAAAACATTAACATGACATGATTAAAAAATGTTTATATAAAAGGTACAGCTCCTATTTTTATTTGAAGTCTTTATTTACTAATAAAGAATATTTTAAGAAGACCTTTATCCTATAAATTCTTATGAAAAGAAATGGTTTTCTTCAATGTTTGGCTTTCTGTATAAATATACAGCAGGTTTCCACAATTAAACCTAACCACAATAAAAAACACTGAATATTATTCTGTTTTCATAGTAGATCAGATTAAACCTTTGTTCCTGACTTGTAGTGAATATCATAGTGATAGGTCCATAATTCAATTGGCCTTGGTATAGATTATAAAAATAGATTTATTTTTGTAAATCTAAAGGATTTTTTCCTTGGACAGTTGGCATGGAGTTTGCAGAGGTGTCTTTTTAACATCACCTTATCCTGAGGTGAGGTGAGTCATTGCCTGTAGAAAGTGACATGGAGAGTACCAGAAATACCTGTCTTTTCAACCAATTTGTTTATCTATTTAGCCTTGCTGTAATCTGAAATTCCCTATGTTGGGGAATTCTTTAGGGGTTAAAGCATCATCTGTTCTGCCTGAATCATAAGCAAAGTTTCATTAATTGATTAAATCATTATGTTTCAAAGCCATGAGGATTCCAAAGCAGGCCTTGGAGGGAACAGGACTCAGGGGAGAGAAAAGAGGTTGGGCCATGTCCTGGGACCACTGGTCAGTAAGGGAATTGACTAAGACCACTGAGTTTATAGAGGTATAGTATCACTGAAGAAGGTGGAAGAGCACCCAAAGAAGGCTCTGTGTAGATGATAAAACTTTGCCATGTGTCCATCTTTTCCAAGACTCTGTGCCATGTACGGGACACAGAGATCAGGAGGACCTGATGCCATCCTTGAGAAACTTAATATCTAAGCAGTGAAGGTAGATGAAGAAGGTACTGTGATAGTGTAACTCGAGGTTCCAGATTTGAGGGACACAGTAGCTGGTTGTCACCAACTGGAGAGGGCCTCTTGTTCATACATTCACCTCAGGTTTATTAGGTGAAAAGAGGCTTTCAGTATAGACCACTCTTGGGTGTGGAATAAAGTGTATGGTTCCATGCTGCTGTCAGGGTGCTCACCCTGGACAATGGAGCTTCACCTACACTTTCAGCATCTGTGTTAAGACAGTTATGAGTATTAAAATGTCCTGGCTTTGTATTTTGGCTTCACCTTTTTAAATTAAGGGCCTTGCACTAGTTTTCTTTTCAGTGTAGGAAGTGATTTTCCAGCCCATCCCCCACCTTGGGTAGGTGGGAGAATTGAAGGGAATAATGTGTGTCGACTTTCTTGATACATGGCAGAATGGACAGCCCTGTCCATTCCAGGACCTAACCCACTGTGCCTGACTAATGGCATGGGCTTGTTTGGACACTTGCCTAATATAGAACTTGTTGACAAGGAGGGAAGTAGAGGATTTGTCTCTTTTTGTTTTATAGCCTTTTGCAGTATGTGAAAGGAAAATATTTAAATGTATCATGAGATAATATGCGTTAAGCTATTTAGATACTTCTGAATTTGTTTCTAATTCATGGGTGGCTTTTTTCAGTTTGATACCTAGAGAATTTAACTCCCATAATTTGGATTAAGCATAACTTGAAACTTGTTATTTGAAGTATATTCGTATTCTCAACAGTAGCATGATTGCACTTCGAGATGGGCAAATGGAAAAGGACAGTTCACTGAGCAGCAATATTAATAGGGAGCTTCGTGTTTATGTACTGACGTCAGGCTTTTTGTGCTGTACAGAATGTACAGGGGCAATTAGATGGTTTCAGATACATGTCTAGACAGGGCAAAGCTTCAGGAGCACTTGCTTAGCCCTGGGAAATACTACAGGTCACTAATTTGTGACCAGAAAGAGCTTTCCTTGATTAATGAATTAAATGTGGTAGATTTATGGTGCTAGGTTTACACCAAATAGGAAAGTCAGATCTGATGAAATTTGACAGGACTGACAGTTTGTCGAACTCGAGTAGGACTAACTCTGCCCAGCATTGCCTGATTTGAAGTACTAAAAGGGATCCAAATGACTTTCTGCCATGCAGTCATGGGGCCTGGATTTCATTCTTAGAATTACCTTTTTGGGCTATACCATTCTGATTCAAAAGGGCTCCTGTAAAAAGTGAGATTTTTCCTTGAAAGAGTTATACATTGACCTGGATTATTTAGTTTTAGGGAGAATAATGAGGAAACATCTTTATAGATAAGTTTTTTTAAAATATATTTTTTAGTTGTAGGTGGACACAATACCCACAATACCTTTTATTTTATTTTTATGTGGTGCTGAGGATAAAACCCAGTGCCTCATGCTTGCTCTACCACTGAGCCACAACCCCAACCAGATAGATAAATTTTGATGTGAGGATAATAGAATATTTTTTGGTTTGGAATTGAGTATACCCAACTCAATTCCAAACGCAGGAGGGTGTGCTCAGGTGGAGAGGGCTGGGGGGACAGATGCCTTAGGGAAGGGATCAGAGAAAGGAGGGGAAAAGGGTGGGTAAAAGGGACTTCATATCTGTGTGCATGAAGCACTATGTCCCTGTGCACCATGGTACTCACAAAAACTCTGACATTGATTATTTTGGGCAAAGGCAAGAGTTTCTAGAAACTAGTCCCATGCTGGTGAGTTTCCAGTCACTAAAGTACTTTCTGGTACTGAAGACTTAATAGTGTCTGCTTGAAGTGTGGTGATAGAGATTCATATTTCAGCCTTTTCCTTGTGCTTGCTCTCTGTTGGCATCTAATGGCCTCTGTAGCCTCCAGCCCCCTAAATCTTCTAGAGGAAAATGGAAATTTACTCATTGCAAATTCTAAGATTATTTGTAAAGCTCCTTTCCTGGTACCCCAGAGAGAAGCTCAAAGGGACCAATTATACTTGGAAAGTACAGATTTCAATCTGTAACTCCCTGAGACCTTGCCTGGTCATTTCTGTTGCTGGCTTCAGGTGAAGCCTTGTGCTTATAGCCTGGTTTTGTGAAAATTCCACTTACTCTGCACTAGGCTCAGTGCTAGCAGCTTTACACATGTATCTCTTGCTCATTGCAAATTGTTACTTGTTAGTGTTTTTACAACTAGTTGTTAGGAGTCAGCTAGTTGCTAGTATTTCTATTTTTGCCAATTATAAGTCTGAGGCTTTGTGAGGTCAAGTAATTTGACCAATATCAAGCAGCTGAGGAGTGAGAGGGCTGCCATTCAAACTTAACAATGTCAACTTCCTTCTGCTACTCTATGCTGATGTTAAGGGTATTCCCTCTGTCTCTGGGACTCACTACTCTTTTCAAAAAGATAGTGTGTAAACCTAAGGACGTGGAGTGCTTTCCCAAAAGGCCAAGGGAAAACAACATGGAGAAAGGATGCTGGAGACACATCTAAGAAGTGGAGGAGTGTCACATCTGCATAGCTGGCCTTGCCTCATTCTGATTTCTCAGCAGCACTTAAGGTGTGCTTGGATTCCACTTCCTTCAGACTTAAGGCTTAGCCTTGCATGCTGGCCCATGCCTCAGAATGAGAGCAGGCCTCCTGTTTTTGCAGTGGACACACCTTAGAGACTGAACAACCTGTAGTGACCTCTTTTACATCTCATTCTAGTCATTCTTTTTTGTTTATCTTGACACACCAACCTAAGTTATGACCTTGGCTGTCTCCCCATGGTTCCATTTCATATTCTCATTCCAACTATGCTGCTTCTGGATACCCCGGGAAAATGTCCTTCCAGAGCTCCAAATGATTTTCATCTTTGATCCTAGCCTGTTGCTCTGTCACTGAGGTCCCAACAATGCCAGTAGGAACAAGAAATTAAGCCAAGAGCCCCAAGGATTCTGACGCACCACTCTGCTTCTGACAGCCTTGGAGATGTTAGGCATGGCTCCACAGTCCTTGCGTCCAGCCAGTGCCACCATGTGAGCCTTGTTGACCAGTATGGGTGCAGCCATTGGCTCTGTGCTCCCAGACCCACCCTGTACAGCTCAAGCTGCCACCTCAAAGCCCTGCCAGGACTTGGAAACTGTCACTTATTGTGACAGTCTTAGTTTGGAACAGCAGAGCCTGAGTCAAAAAAGTTTACTTGCTACCACTTAAATGGCTAAAGCAACAATTAAGAAAAACAAGTGGGGCAAAGAAAAAGGCAAAACAAATATGAGAGCTGCATTATTGATAGGTGCATTATTGATATTGATATACCTGCTGGCAAGTATAGCCGATTGATTTTGTGAGACATCTTCAGAGAGACACCATAAAAGTAACTGCATTTTTGGGCAGTACTTCCAGGGGGAGGAAGGGAAAGAAATTTATTCACTGGTTCCCTTTTCCTTAACCAAAGTCTTGCCCCATGGATCATTAATTCTTATGTACTGATTATCACACACTAGTGGCTAGCTGACCATATCACACCCACCAATAATCATACCTTAGCAGCAATAGAAAAGTTCTGGGTGGGAGGTAAGAGGGATGTGCTGTGCCATGGGTGACATAGGGTCTGAGACAGTGGCTTTAGTATACCTGGGTTCACAGCATTGAGAGTAGGACAAACCATGTTAGATCTGCCCAGCATGGCAGCAAGAAAGTACACAGATCTGGGTGATGGAAAAAAACTGAGTCTGGTCATTGTTGGAGCATTTTAATAGTAGTGTAGTTTGGCTCCTGGATTTATTCTTGCTGTGAGGAAACTTCTTGGGAATACAAAGAAGAACTCAGTTTTCTCTTCCAGTTTCTAGGGTTGAGCATTCCTCTGAGAGTCTCTTGTGTGGATAGAATACAGCTGAGTCTTTTCTCTGATTGGAGAAGAGGCACCCATATAATGTTATAATAGAGAGATGCGTCATCTCACAACAAGAGGCAGAGGAGCTGTTCTTGGAGCAACTGATATATGTGGCACTGATCATCTCTTAGGGGCCTTCACCCATGCAAGTGGTTTTTATAAATGATACTAGACAGTACACCACAATCAAAGTGAGTAGCAGGATTAATTGATATGAAATAACATATTAGATATACTTACATGGGGTGAGGTGTGGTGGGGAGGTCCCTGTGACCATACAAACTGCTCTTGCCTCTTAATGCAAATCGACATACCTTATCTCTTGGCCAAGCTTGCTTTTCTGGGAATATGGGTTAGGGGTGCCAGGCTCCCTCCATTGCTTAGCTAGAGCTTAAGCCTAATTTTACCAAAGGAGGTGATAGACATGTGACAAAAGGCCCATTCCTGTGACTTGCTCAGAACAAAGAGGATCTTGCTGTTTCTACTACTAGAAAACAGCCACTGCTGGCAATCCTCAAATGGTAATTGTTGCACAAAATGGAAAACTTCAAGTTCCTTTTCACAGTACCCTGTTAGAATCAAAATACTAAAGTTGGTCTAGATCTCCTCTCCACACAGCCACAGCCTCTGAATTGTCATTAACAAAAGGCAAATTCCTGGCCCCTGTTGAAATTGCAGAATTGGGAATCCTACTTCCTGCTTCTCACTCCTCCCATCCATGCCCATCCTTACCTTACATACTGGGGGTCCTGCTGGCTGCCTTTCCCTCTCATCCTTGTAGACAGAAACAGAAATCATGGATTCCTGAGGACATGGATCCAGCCTGGCATCTGGGCTGGAGGAAAAGAACCATCACAGAATTCTCAGGGGCACAGTATTCTCCCACCAGGCAAACCTATTAGCCAAATCCCTCCCTCCACCTAGCCCAGGCAAGGGTTGTTTCTGGTTCTACAGAGTCGCTTTGACATGCTAGGTGCATAAAAGTGAGCTTTCAATACCACAAAAATATTTATAGCCTCAATTCAAGAGTCCTTGTCTTGACCTACTTTGCAATCAGTGGTATTCTTTCTTCAGATCCTCCCAGCTTCTGACCTGGGGACTGACTCATTTTCCTGTTTACAATCTTGCCTCAACCCTCATTCCTAATGTTTTGCATAGTTTCTCTGGCAATGACCTTTGGTTTCCTTTTGACTAGAGTTCAGGTTCTCTTCTGGCCAGATAGCCTCTGACTGTTCTGGTTAAAAATATGGCAGAGATCATCCATGTCTCCTGTGATCCTTTGTCCCTGATGTTACCTCCTAAGAGCAGTGCACCTGCCAGACTTGCCTTTATTGATGGGGTGGCCTTAGGATAAGAGAAGAAGGTGGGAGAATAAGTAGGTAGATGAGACAGAGAGAGAGCTCAAAGTAAAAGAATAAGCCCATTCCTTCTATGAATCCTTAGTGTCATTGGTGCAGACATTAAAATGAACATTAATTATTTTACCTCCATGGTTTTTAGATTTGTTTAAAAGAGCCTCGAAAGTGACATGAACCTCTTTTGTCTGTATGAGCTTATTGACATTTTGAGTGGGCATTGCTGCTCTGTAGTTTAACTGAAATATTTTTATTCTACCCATGAGTGAATATTTTCTGACAAGTAATTCTACTTTTGTATCTCAATTAACAATTCAATGAGGGGACCCATGCTCACAGTAGGCCCTGATCCACTGTTCCACCAACGGGGCAGACACCCACCAGAGCCTAGCCTTTGGCACAGGACTGCCCCTTCCGTCCAGCAGACTACCACGGGAATCAAGCCTAGCCAAGATCTGTCCACACTGACTTTCGCAGGACCCGAGTCCAGGGTAGGTCCGAGTTTGCCAACCCCCTACCTGGGAGCCTAAGCCTWACCCACTTCCATCTTGGGACACTGCAGTCATCACCATAGCCTTCCTCACACAGTAGCCCCTAACTTTTTGACAACAGACAGAGCCTACAAGTAGCTGCATCTCAGAGTAGGCATCCCAAAGGGAATATGAGATCCCCTCTTGCAGCCTCATCTCTGTAAGACATTGCTTCCATCTTGGGCCACCTTAACTATTATCTCAAGTTACCTTGGCTATTTTTGCCACCAACCTTAGATACAGTAGCATACACTTAGGGACACCAGCAAGGTCTGGAAGCCCAGCATCAAGGTGAGGTACAGACAATCTGCATGGGTACTACAAGAATTGGATTAAAAAAAAAAAGACCCAACAGTATGCTGCCTCCAAGAGACTCATCTCATAGGAAAAGACATCCATAGACTGAAGGTGAAGGGTTGGGAAAAATCATACCACTCATATGGACTGCAGAAGCAAGCAGAGGTTTCCATCCTCATGTCAAATAAAGTAGACTTCAAACTAAGGTTAATCACAAAGGATAAAGAAGGACATTACGTACTGCTCAAGGGAACCATACACCAACAAGTTTAAACAATTATAAATATATATGCCCCAAACAATGGAGCATCTACATTCATCAAATAAACTCTTCTCAAGTTCAAGAGTCAAGTAGACCACAACACAATAATTTTGGGTGACTTTAACACACATCTTTCATCACTACATAGATCTTCCAAATAAAAGCTGAACAAAGAATCTATAGAACTCAATAAAACAATAACTTAGACTAAATTGACATATATAGAATATTTCATCCTTCAATGAGAGAATATACTTTTTTCTTAGTAGCACATGGATCCTTCTCTAAAATAGACCATATACTATGCCACAAAGCAGCTATTAGCAAATATAAAAAGTAGAGATACTACCCTGCATTCTACCAGATCATAATGGAATGAAATTAGAAATCAATGATAAGATAAGAAATAAAATCCACTCCAACACCTGGAGACTAAATAATATGCTACTGATTGAATAATGGGTTACAGAAGACATCAAGGAGGAGATCTAAAAGTTTTTAGACGTAAATGAGAACACAGATACAACATATCGAAATCTCTGGGACACTATGAAAGCAGTTCTAAGAGGAAATTCCATTGCAAACTTCATTCCTTAAAAGAAGAAAAAGTCAACAAATAAATGACTTAACACTACATCTTAATGCCCTATAAAAAAGAAGAACAAATCAACACCCCCCCCCCAAAAAAAAAAACAGAAGACAGGAAATAATTAAAATAAGAGCTGAAATCAATGAAATTGAAACAAAAGAAACAATTGAAAGAATTGACAAAACAAAAACTTGGTTCTTTGAAAAAATAAGTAAAATTGACAGGCCCTTAGCCATGCTAACAAAGAGGAGAGAGAAAACTCAAATCACTAACATACTTTTTTTTTTAAAAAAAGGAAATATCACAACAGACACTACAGAAATACAGAAGATAATTAGAAATTATTTTGAAAACTTATACTCCAATAAAATAGAAAATATTGAAGGCATTGACAAATTTCTAGAGTCATATAATTTGCCCCAATTGAATCAAGATGATATATGCAATTTAAACAGCTCAATTTCAAGTGACGAAATAGCAGATGCCATCAAAAGTCTACCAACCAAGGAAAGCCCAGGACCGGATGGATACACAGCTGAGTTCTACAAGACCTTTAAAGAAGAACTAATACCAAAACTCTTCAATTTATTTCAGGAAATAGAAAAAGAGCACTTCCAATATCACCCTGATTCCAAACCCAGGCAAAGACACATCAAAAAAAGAAAACTTCAGACCAATATCTCCAGTGAACATAGATGCAAAAATTCTCATTAAAATTCTGGCAAATCGAATACAAAAACATATCAAAAAGATTGTGCACCATGATCAAGTGAGATTCATCCCAGGGATGCAGGGTTTCACCATATGGAAATCAATAAATGTAATCCATCACATCAATAGACTTAAAGATAAGAATCATATAATCATCTCAATAGATGCAGAAAAAGCATTTGACAAAATACAGCACCCCTTTATGTTCAAAACACTAGAAAAACTTGGGATAACAGGAAAGTATCTCAACATGATAAAGGGTATCTATGCTAAGCCCCAGGCCAACGTCATTCTAAATGGAGAAAAAATTGAAGGTATTCCCTCTAAAAACTGGAACAAGACAAGGATGCCCTTTTTCACCACTTCTATTTAACATAATTCTTTTTTTAATTTTTAATATTGGTTGTTCAAAACATTACATAGTTCTTGACATATCATATTTCATACATTTGTTAACATAGTTCTTGAAACACTGGCCAGAGCAATTAGATAGGCAAAAGAATTTAAAGGGATACACATAGGAAAAGAAGAATTCAAATTGGCTCTATTTGCTGATGATATGATTCTATACCTGGAAGACCCTAAAGGTTCCACCAGAAAACTCCTAGAACTAATAAATGAATTCATCAAAGTAGCAAGATATAAAACCATAAATCAAAGGCACAAGAATTAAAATCAAAAATCAATAAATGGGATGGACTCAAACTAAAAGGCTTCTTTGCAGCAAAAGAAACAATCTGTGAGGTGAATAGAGACTCTACATCTTGGGGGCAAATTTTTACTCCTCATACATCAAATAGAGCACTAATCTCTGAAGTATATAAAGAATTCAAAAAGTTAAACATCAAAAAAACCCCAAATCCAAATAACCCAATCAATAAATGGGCCAGGGACCTGAAGAGACACTTCTCAGATGATGATATACAATCATCTTACTCCAGTCAGAATGGCAGCTATTATGAAGATAAACAACAACAAGTGTTGGCAAGGATGTGGGGACTACAAATTGGTGCAGCCAATATGGAAAGCAGTATGGAGATTTCTTGGAAAATTGGGAATGAAACCACCATTTAACCCAACTGACCCTCTCCTCAGTCTATACCCAAAGGACTTAAAAACAGCATACTACAGGGACACAGTACATCAATATTTATAGCAGAACAATTCACAATAGTTAAACTGTGGAATAAAATCATGGCATTTGTAGGTAAATGGATGGAGTTAGAGGAGATAATGCTAAGTGAAGTTAGCCAATCCCAAAAAACCAAATGCCAAATGTTTTCTTTGATATAAGGAGGCTAATTCATAGTGGGATAGGGAGCAGGAGCATGGGAAGAATAGATGAATTCTAGATAGGGCAGAGGGGTTGGAGGGGAAGGGAGGGGGCATGAAGTTAGAAATGATGGTGGAAAGTGATGATCATTATTATCCAAAGTACAGGTATGAAGACACGAATTGCTATGAATATACTTTGTATACAACCAGAGATATGAAAAATTGTGCTCTATATGTGTAATAAGAATTGTAATGTATTCTGCAGTCATATTTAAATAAAAAAATTGGTGAGTACTCAGATTTAATGAGATTGATGAAATTCAGAAACACCTTGATTCCTAATCCTTTAGTCAACTGTAGAACTTCATTAAGTGGCAGGTCGCTTTTTGATGGTTATGTATTTCATAGCAAGTAGTTTAAAAATATGGCAGATTTTTTTTGGGGGGTGGTATTTTCTGCCCTGCTCATGCTTTATTCTTTGGTAAATCATTTGTATCCATGGTCCTGCCAGAAACCAACTTTTTGCTATGTGATCCTCACCAGGTGCTAATGGGTCAATGGTAGATACTTGAATCCGACTCAGTAGGTCAATTAATTTTGTTATTGACCTGTGAAGTTTTCTTGTTGAAAATATGAACTAAAGGACATAGTGTCAATAGTCAGTCTATATCAGCTAAGTTTGTGAGAGAACAGAAATAATTGATAACCAGTGAGTTAAGAGACCACAGGGAACCACCATTTGACCCAGTTATCCCACTCCTTAGTATATACCCAAAGGACTCAAAATCAGCATCCTACAGTGATGCAGCCACATCAATGTTTATAGCATCTCAATTCACATTATCTATGCTATGGAACCAACCTAGGTGCCTTTCAACAGATGAATGGATAAAGAAAATGTGGTATATATACACAACGGAATATTACTCAGCCATAAAAGGAATGACTTTGTGCCTTTAACTGGTAAATGGATGGATCCAGAGACTGTCATGTTGAGAGAAATAAGTCAATTCCCAAAATCCAAAGGCCAAATGTTCTCTCTGATATTTGGATGCTAACACACAATCTGGGGGTGGGGGGGGGAGA